GTCATATTATAGTTGACTGTTGACCAAATGAATTACAAGTCGAACAATTTTTAACTACAAATTAGTTCGCAAACCCTCCTCGTTTCTTTACCAAAATCCCATTTCAAAACACTACCTTGCTATTAGTTAACTCCTAAAAAAATGGTCATCCAAAACGCGATTCTAAACTACATTCTCATTTTTTTTCATCTTCATTTTAACAATATTGGCCGAGACCGCGTTCTCACAAAATTGCCAAGATACTACCTGTCCTGGCCTTCAGGAATGCTGCAGCTATTATGACACGGAAGACGATTTCTGCAGATTTTTTTTGTTTCAGTGGCCCTTGTAATATCAAAGGCAAAGGCTACGGATATGACACAACGTTGATGCCGGTCCACGTGGTAAAATAGAGAGTGTCATTACACCAGCATTGTTTGACAACATCATGAGCAAAGTCGAAAGCAACTGCTCAGCAAAAGGATTCTACACTTACAAAGCTTTCATTACCGCTTTCAAATCATTTGGAGCTTACAAAGGAAAAGTGGCTAAACGCGAGATCTCTGCCATATTGGCTCATTTCTCATATGGATCTAAAAGTAAGTACTATATATTGCAACAAATGTGTTTTCGCGTTTCCATTCACATTATGCGTTTAAAACAACGTATATCAATAATAACATGATCACCTATATATATATACCACAATGTTTGTTTATTTGGAAATCTCTAATAAATTCTGTTATATGTAAAGGCTTTTGTTACCGAGAAGAAATATCGACTTGAGAGGTATTGTTCAAAGAGCAAGAAGTACTCTTGTGAGCCGGGGAAATACTACTATGGTCGTGGTTTGCTCCAATCAATCACATGGAACGAGTATTATGGTGCGGCTGGCAAGCACCTCGGGCTACCTCTTTTGAAGGATCCATATCTGGTGGCTCGTAGTCCGGAAGTGGCTTTCAAATTCGCGATGTGGTTCTAGAATAGGAACGTGCGTCCGGCTTTATACTTAGGATTTGGTGAAGTCACAAAGAGGGTCGATGGCCGAGAGTGCAGTAACTGGCGTCGTGATGGTACGAGGAACAAGGTTAAGCAATACCAAGAGTTCTGCAAGATGCTTGGTGTCACTCCTGATCAAGCTCTCGATTGTTAAAGTCATTAATGTGATTCTACTAAGTTTGAATTACATGTTTGAATTTAATATAGGATATTTATGCTACTATATACATCGGATAATAATGGATGTCCAGAAATAAAATTTCATAAATATTAACTATGTATTTTCAATTTATCATTTTAATTATAATCGTTTTCTAATTCTTTTATTTTTTATTAATTGATTTGAACTTTCATTTATTAATTAACAAAAAAAAATATGAGAAAGATACAATATTTTTACTGTCAATATTTTAGTTTTTTGGGTGCTCAAACATAGAAGGCACTCGCATAAACAAAAGTTAGTTTTTTGGGTGCTCAAACATAGAAGGCACTCGCATAAACAAAAGTTAGTTTTTTTGAGTGTTCATTAACTAGAAAAAATAGATTTTTTTTTTTTGTAACGTGCTTAATAAAATTACTATATTAATAAGGAAATAACTATAGTTGAAACTGACTAATTTTCCACTACAAAATACAAATACGCTCACAAACCAGCCTGTGTTCCCTTTACAAAACTCAGTTTTCTAAAATCACTCCACAATCAAAAGAAAAATAATATGGTGACCCAAAATGCGATTCTTAGAAATACTCTCATTCTTGTCCTGCTCACTTTAGCCGTCATGGCCAAAACCGTGTTCTCGCAGAATTGCCAGAAAATGGGTTGTCCAGGTCTCATAGAGTGTTGTAGCTCCTGGGGTTACTGCGGTACCAAAGACGAACACTGTGGCTTTTGGTGCTTCAGCGGCCCTTGCAATCTCAAAAATAAATCATACGGATTCGACTACAATGTCAATGCCGGTCCACGCGGTCCAATAGAGAGTATTGTAACGCCAGAGTTATTCAACCGCATCATGAGAAAAGTAGGAAGCAGTTGTCCGGCAAAAGGGTTCTACACTCACAAGGCTTTCATCGCTGCGGTTAAATCGTTTGGAGCCTATAAAGAAACGGTGGCTAAGCGCGAGATTGCAGCCATCTTGACTCATTTCTCTCACGGATCTAATAGTAAGTTCACTATACTTCGGAGATTAAAAGTGCAAATTTCCCTTTTTCTAAAGAATTTGCTATATATAGGATCCTATTTGATCTGTAATATATATTTCTTATGTTTTTACAAATAAAATATAGTAAATTTTTTTTATATTTTTGGTGAATTCCAAAATTTTATCTTTCGAACCTTTTTTCATAGATTCCAGAGTTTTATCTTTCAAGTTTGTCGTTTGCCAATTTGAATTATATCTATTCTTAGAGATTTCCGACTTACTAAAGACACCTTTTTMTTRGGTTCCTTATGAATTTGGGTAACAAATCAAGATAACATGCATCTTGAGATGTGTGCCTTCTCTATAGTGATTATAAATTTAAAAAGTTGTTGTAGATAACATTAAAAGAATTATATGACCTATAAGTTTATAACACATTATTGTTTATTTGGGGACCTCTACCTAATATGATCTATTATGTTGATTAAAAGGCTTTTGTTACAAAGAAGTTAAAGCAAAGGGGAACTATTGTTCGCCGAGCAAGAAGTACCCTTGTGAACAAGGAAAGAAGTACTATGGTCGTGGTCCACTCCAATCAATCAGATGGAACGAGTACTTTGGTGCAGCCGGAAAATTTCTAGAGTTGCCTCTGTTGAAAGATCCGGATATGGTTGCTCGTAGCCCCGAAGTGGCATTCAAATATGCAATGTGGTTCTGGAACAAGACCGTGCGTCCGGCTCTATACCTAGGATTTGGAGAAACCTCGAAGAGAGTGGACGGTCGAATATGCGATAATTTGCATCCTGATGATACGAAGAACTTGGTTAAGCAATACGTCGAGTTGTGCAAGATCCTTGGGGTTACTCCGGATAAAGGTCTCCATTGTTAAACATATTAAACTATTAATTATTATAGTCTTCGATTGTGGTTGTGTATAATTAAAGTTTAAACATGCGTACGCAATTTTTTTCTGTAACACAATTCTTCCGCGGTCCAAATATGTCTAAAGTACTACAAATATTTTTGTCACTTATTTTTTGTCACAAATAACTTTGCCTTTAATACATGAAATGATAATTATGTATAAAAAAGTTATGCGCTTTTGTCCATAATGGAGTTATATGATTAATTTTCGTAAAATTGTATGATTAAGAATCTATGAATTAATTCATTTCTTCGCATATAAAGAGGTTATTTGTTGACTGTTGGAGAAAATAAATTCACTTTTCGGTTAGTCTCGATTAAGTTTTGGATAATCTAGGTCAAGAAATAAG